ATAGCCAGCCTTAGTGTTTTTTTGTTTTTTTTTCCATGTTCCTCTTTGAAGGTGTTCATGACTGCATAGACAAATGTCAGCCATCTTTGCCAACAAGTAGATGATAACCAATCATTTGGCCTTAAAAAGGGGAAAATGGGGTTTTCATTAGCTTATTATAAAAATAAACTTCAATAAACTTTAGAAATATGCCGGGATTTATAAAAGCATGTCATTTTTAAACATATAAAAACAATATATTCAAGTTTGAGATGTATCTGCAAGCACTTAAAAAGTAATAATCTTATCTTACATTTCAACTTAAACATTTGATAATCAAACAAAAAGGTTTTGTTAATTTTACGTTTAAATAAAAGCGACTGGACAACTTTTGCACTCATATGTTTTGATTTTTCTTGTATTAACAATTGTGTAAAATCCAAAAGTAATTGTAATGTATTACCAAAATTTTGATCCAGGTTATCAATGGCAAGTGTCCCAAGGTCCATTCAGGCCTTTATATTGTGCTTTTAGCACATTAGTCTTTAAAATGAGGCAATAAACAGAGCATTGGACGGATGCTGTGTATCAGAGGGTCACCTTTATTGTCACAAAAACACAACAGGAACGTACAAAAGCAGTGACCTGTCTGTTGGAATTTTCACACACAAAGCAGCAACTTTTTTTGTTTTTTTCCAGTATCATATTTGTGCTTTGTTCTGCACAGATTAGTTGGATTTTACTTACAGTATATTGTAGTAGTTGATCATTCTTGGTCACAGTTCACAAACAACACTTACCCCACACAGCAAGCATCACTTTCAAACAAACTGAAGGAACAGCTTCTAGTTGATAAATATAATTTAGGTATCTTTCTTCATAAAATTCAGTCATTTTTTTTCTTGATTTATTCTGACATAAGGGCTTTAAACAGAATACAAAAATCTATATGTTGCTGTACAGTTTTCTTTACTCTATGGTACACTCACAGGTATACACAGATTTAAAATGAGATGTCAGTTCAGTCGGCGTGCAGATTTTTCAGGAATGTTTACAGTATTCATGCCATTTTGGAGTATTTTTCCACCTTTATATATAAAAAGGAAATCACATTAAAATGAATTCAATATATTTGGGTTTATATACATGATCTGAACATCCACATATGATTGAACAATCACACATTCATCAAGAAACCATCGATTAACACTTGAACTTGTATAATCTCACACACTGTTGGTTAGAATAGAATAAAACATCTATAAACGGGACGTCTCCTAAGTGACGGGAGCGTTTCATGTGCTTTTTTTTTTATAAATGCAGTGCCACTATTTTACAGTTTGTATTAGCAACGGCATCCGGTTTCTACGGCAACGTGTGATCATGGTTCGTTTCATGGCTTGCAGAAAAAATAAAATCTTTTAACTCAGAAAAATAAAGAATTTACAGAACGTGTCACATGCTTATGAATCCTCTTCAAGTATAAAAATACAAAAAAAAGCTTGATTATATAAAACATAGATGACTTTTTTTCTTTTTTACACGTTCTCTCTGAAACAAAAAACTAAATGGTTCTATAATAATATACATACAATATATCTTAAGTGGTTCTGGTCAGATTTTAACTTCTCTCAATCTAGATTATCTAATCTTATTCTACATTTCATAAACAGGTTAAGACTAAACTCTTAATTTAGTTTCCCGCAGTGGTGAAGACAGAAACACTGGTTTGATTTCACTTTAATCGAAAGCTTTGCAGCTTAACACGTCACGTTTTAATTAAATCCAAATTTCTGAAAAATTTTGACAAAAGGAAACCTTACACGTTTACATACCTATGTCCCAGTTCTACACTTGTTATGAAGTAGAAACATAAATTTCAAGCTTAACCAGATTGTCCAATAGGATACCTTTTTGGGTGCCACTCTTTCAGACATTAAAAACACTTTATCTGGAACTGAGCAGCCATTTAAACAGATGATTCAATTTTGGATAAGGCATGTTTGCCATGTTGGACAGTTTTACAGCCACTCTTATTTTAGGAAAAATGCTCAATATCACTAAAATGAATAGCTAAAGTAATGAAAAGATGAAACTAAAGATTTTTGTGGTGCTCTATATGTTGCGGAACAGCCAATGACAAAAATGGCACCTTAAAATTATAAAATGACAGATTTTTGTTTTGTTTTTTCATAGTAAAGCTCAAATTTATTTCTAGAAATGTAAGAGCAGATTTTTTTTCTGCTTCGGGTTCTATATACAAATAAAGATTGATTAATTTGAAAACAGATAAACATAATTTGTAAATAATATATTTTTTTTATCAAGTTTACTTTATAAAAAAAAAACAAAGCTATCCAAACCAACCAAGCCCTTCCACTTAGTAAATTGTGGACACTTTAGTTCAACTTCAGCAGCCATACCCAGACTTGATTACTGCCAGACTTTATGCAGAACCCACATCACAACATGATGAAGGTTAAATAAATTCTAACATTATGACAAAGTAAAAAAAAAATATATATATATACATATACATATACATATTTTCATTTTTAGGTTAATCTCCACAAGAGAAGTAGAGGGGTGAATGTTTTAAGGAGTGTATGTTTTATTAAAATCACTCCAACAACACAACCACTCATCAAGGGTTATCATAAAACAATCCAAAGTTAAACACCCTTGCTTGCCTCAGGTAAGGTTACTGTTTGGTAGAAATAATCTTGGTGAAATGTAAAGTTAGAAAATATCTACCTTTAAATTTGTCACTCTTAGGTTTTTAGGCAGCAAAATCCAATAACGATGGTCTCTCATGAATTCAGACTATGATTACATACAAAGTTTCCAGTATTTCTAAATCATTTCTACACAAAGCTGGCAACATATTATCCCCAATGATTTAAAATAATTATCGACAATGATGGCTTCTGTTGCCACCAGCAACGCAATAATTTATAAGGTGTGGGTGGGTTTTACCCTTTCACATTCAGCCAGCAGATATCCCTGCTTGTTAAGTAAAGAATCTTTTTAATGTAATTAGGCCTCATCCTATATTACATTTATTGGATGATCTGAAACATCCATGTGGAAAGATAAAGAAGGCTGCAAACAAACAAATACTTAACAGCAAAATGAAACAAAGATGATCAGTTATTTCCTAGTTTTAAATGTCACCCCCCGGTCTTTGCATTTAACAACACATACATTATACATAATAAGCTGCAGCATGAACAGCCTGTTATTTCAGATTAGTTTCTAAATGGTTAATTATAAACAGAAATAATCCAGTCCTACTCCTGACATTTGCTAGTTTTAATGTTGCCCTTTTATAAGCTGCATTTCAAATCAAATATTTGCTTGGATGAAAATGCAGGAAATTAGATTCAAATAAGTTAAGCCCATTAACTTTGTTACTGTTAAGCCCTGCAAGGTCCTAAAAATAACGTTCAAACCAGATTTAGATGGTTTAAATGGCCCTATGATACCCTGCATCCTTTTTCCATTTATTTCCATTTAATTAGGAACCAGTCAAAAACTTAACTACTATCAGTAGGTCAATTAAAGATATAAATCTCAAATTATACTGTATATATTTTAAGTTTTTTATCTGTCGAATGAGACTATTATGCATAACAGTTCATCAACACCAAAAACTCCTTTTCTGAAACAATCACAATCTTCAACAAAGCACATCAGAAGGATTTTTAGTCCAGGGCTGGTTTGGCCGACACGATCATGCAGGAGACTTCTCACTCAACAGCTGTCGAGCGGACAGTCTCTACCCCCCTCCTCCAAATATGGGATTAGCTCCTAAAGATCATTGTTAAATAAGCTGGTTGTTCACAGTGATCTTTATCCCAGCATAAAAATTAAAGGTGAGAAAAATCTGGTGGAATTCATCAAAGCTGGACTACAGAGGAAAAAACTGGACTGTTGCTCAGTTTTTCAAAGTATAACTCTCAGGCAAATGGAAATTCATTTTTTCATGAGAGAGTAAAGGTCCCAGTTTCTGGAGGAAGGGCATAAAATCCATGCTGGTCGGGATCTAGTAAAGTTTCCCAAGCCCACCTCTATCTACCGGTGTTATTTCGCCAACTTTCATCACAAGTCAGGTCATTTAAGAGAGCTTACACTGCAAAAACGATCTAGAAATAAGTACAAAAAATCTTAAATTAAGTACATTTTACTCTTAATTTGAGCAGGTAAATAAGATGATCTGCCAATGGAATGAGTAGTTTTACTCTTAAAATAAGATAGTTAGATAATGTGCGCTTATAATAAGACAATACCATTGTTTTTTCTTCTCATAAAAGTAAATCCTCTTGTTCCATTGGCAGTGTCTCACTTATCTCCTCAATTCAAGAACAAATACACTTGCTTTAAGAAAAAAAAATATTGAGATTTCTATTTTTTGCAGTGTATGCTTCCCTCTGCTGACAGGTTCTGTAGCAGGGGTCACCAACTCGCATATTTTGGTCCGGGTCGGGACTCTGAGAAGCTTTCACCTGGGTCGCTGGACTTTTTCTGTGGTAAAATTAATCTATGATAGTCTGAAATGAGAATATTCATTAGACACAGCTTTGACTTCCCCAATTGTGGCTTTTGAGGTGCTTTCCTCAACCTCTTACAATCACACTAGACCTACAGTTTGTTTTCACTCCCAGATGTACAGCGGGTGAGACAGAAGCTTGCCCTGCCTTTAGGCCTTAAAGGATTTAAGATTGCCTGTTTAAAAATCAGGGAGGTGGACTGTGAAAATAGAGCATTTAAAGACGAGTCGATGGAAAAATACTTTCCTCCAAGGACATGCTACAAGGCCAATCTGTTTAAGCGGCTCATTCTTTGGTGGAAACAGTTAAATGCCACTAGGGTTCTAAACATAGAGTTTGAAGAAACTTACCCACAAGAATATGAGATAGGAATCATGAAAATAATTGAATTCAGAAAATGAATCCTGTTTTATGAGCCCTTAAATAAAATAAAAATAAACGTTTCATACATTATTTAAAAAAAAAGGACTTTTATTTATTTCTTTTGCTGTTAAGTTTTGTAAAAGATTAAATGTTAGTAAAGAATTAAGAAAGTGAAGTTTGTTTTTAAGATGTATTAAATACATTCTTTAAAACTATACTGTAACTAAGAAAATGAGCAAAAAAACTTAGTAAAATTGTGAAGTTGCCTAAGCTGAGGAATTGGACCCTTTTGAAATCTAGTTAATTAGCTGTGTTCAATAGAGATTCTTCACTTTCTAGCAGAACTTACTCCCAACCCGTGCTTTCAAAGGTTACAGTAACCATGGTGATGGTGAGCTTGATTACCCAGAAACCTCATATCAAGAGCAGAATGCAAGCTGAAGGCTGCTGTTAAAGCAATCTGTGTTTTATTCCTGCATCAGCAGAGCCTTGTGCTGACACAGTCATTTAGGTAAAGAGAGCCATAAATTGGTATAGACGAATATTTATTCAATAGGTCTACATTATCATATCAAACATCCATTTTTATTAGACATAGTTCATGCTAAACATCAGAGAAACAGATTTTTTTGGTTTTGGTTATCTATGAAACATTTGAAAAAAAATATATATATATACTTGAAATATATCCCCACCTGTAATATATAATTATAATTTTTCCTTCTTGAAGAACTAAATATCCAGTTTTCAATGACATTCTAATTTACCGTGAGGCGCCTGTTTTATTTTAATGGCAACACCCTTTATCTTTCACCTTTCTCTGAATGAAATAGAATAAAAATATAACTTGATTGAGCATTCATGAGATATCCTCTTGTGTAAAACTGGGACATAGATTTCGTTTTAGATTGTTAGTTATGGTGGAAGATGGAGATACACATTAGATGTGTTTAATTGCTTCATGGTACAGGTCCAGAACTCTTGCAGTCTTTTTCAAATTAACACATGAATCAGTGGAGTCACATTAATATATCAGCAGACAACAGGAGCTCCTGTTTGCCTCCAAACTGTGACATTTTAGCCAACAGTCACCTTTTAGGTGTGAATTAGGATTTAGAGGTCCAAAAGTGGAATGATCCGAGTACTCAGTCGTCACGTATTTAGTCCGGATGAGACCTGAGAGACCTGAGAAGCAGACAGGATGACAAAAGGCAAAGCAAGTGACGAAGAGGAAAAAAAAAAAAAAGAAGGCTGGCTGACGGACTAAAAAAAGATGTCAGAAATAGCAGTGAAGGGAAACGTCGGCAGAAATAATGATGATCTGCGGATCAGTGAGCAGCGGAAGCTCAGGACTGCCCCAAAAAAGCAAGCAGTGTGGGGGGGAGGGGAAGTTTTAGAGCAAAAAAGAGAGAAAAGTGTAATGGAGTCATGAAGCAGTGACAGGGGGGGAAAAAAAACAAAAACATAAAAATCAAAATTTACTGACAGACAAATCAAGTTTTTTGTTAAATCCTTCAAACCCTTCATCCCTGCACTATGCTGCTCTGAGCTTCATTGTGATTGGCCGGTGGGGACGTCAGGTTTTGGTGCATCGACGTGACGGTCCTCGTGTGTGCGACTGACGCAGAGCTGCTGTCAGAGCTGCAGGACAGAAAAATCTCTCCCTACTCCGCTTCTCTTCCTCCTCTGAATGATGCAGCAAAAAAAGAGGAAGAGGAGGGAGAGAGGACAGGAACAATGGGTAGAATGCTAGGGGATTAGGGCTGCTGCTTAAGGACGGACTGGAGATAAAAGGAATAAAGGTAGGAAAGGGGAAAAAGCAAAAAAAGAAAAAGGAGATCAGGAGTCAGTTTAGAAGAGTAAAATAGAGGGATATAGGAAAAATAGAAAAAGAGACGGAGGAATAAGGAACAAGGAGGATAGTGTTTGAGTTTATGAGAAGTGATAAATAGAAGAAGAAATAAGGACAATGTGAAGAACCCACAGCTCAGAATGAGAGTCAGAAAATGTTTGAGCTTCTGATCCCATCTTTAAACCAGCCAGCAGTAAAAGCAGCAGCCATAGTCTCCATGGCTTCTCTAGGAGCCAAATTCATCAAGTGAAAAAAAACCCAAAAAAAACAACTGGCCCTCGCTCCCCTCTGCTGCCACCACTGATTAACAGCTCCGAAAAAAAGAGCAGGGCAGTTTTCCTCCCATCACACATTCAGGAGAACGAAGACTCTTTGTCTTTCCAAAATGTTCAGCCAATCAAGGAGGCTTTGTTGGAAAACAAGCTGCGTTCAGGGAGAATAATGTATGAGAAATGATGCAGGGAAAAAAACACATTCTTTGTGTGTTACACACTCTTACAAACAAATTCCCTGGAACTTGTTCACATTTTTTGACAACATAACGCAATGTTGCAACCAATTAGATTTTTTAGTCAAATTTAATGATAATATCTTTCAACCAATGAAAAGCTATTTTTGCCTCTCAGACTAATTAATAATGACTTTAAATATACAGTAAAAGATAAAAAAAAAAGGAAACAAGAAACAGGGAAAACCGCAGCATTGTGAAGCAAAGTTTCAACAGGGTTCTTGCTCGGTAATTCAAAGTTTTCTTTCTTTTGAAAATAAAGCCTGGATTTCGTTGATTAATCAAGTTCCAGATTTTGGAGGGAGAGTGAAGAGGCACAGAATCCAAGCTCACAAATTCACACTCAAGAACAGATGTTCCACAACCAGTGTTAATCTGTGGATCCATTTCACAGCTAGTGCTGGTACACTGAGTTTTAGGTTGAAAGTCTGTACAGGCGTCTTTCAGGAAATATTGAATCATTTTATTCTTCCTCTTAGCTGATAAATGCTGCAGGAATCAACAAGATAACCAAATGAACCATGGCCTGCTTTGATTAAATCCTCCATAATCTTGTTTGGCTGGGAGACTGCCATACAACTGGCCTAATACACTGTATAGTGCAAATACTAAGTTAATTAAACTTGTTTATTGGTCGCATTTAACACAAAATGTATGGGTTTTTCTAAGCTATAACCATGAGATTGAGCAGAAATATAAGTGAAATTCCCTCTGTGGATTATCTATTTGAGTTTGACTTTTTGAATCAGACCAATAACATAAGCTAGTCGGCTAGTTAATATGAGACTTTAAATGTGACTGATGTACACCTGTGGATTCATGACAGCAGGGAGCTGTTTTTACCCCTGAATGCTAAACTTTCAAGGAATCAGCAAAAATACTGACTTTACAGTAACTTAACTAGCAAATTTTTTTTTTCTTTTTTTTCTACCGAAAGTTACATGAAAGGCAAGAAAGTCAATTGTTCTTGTTAATCAGGTTAATTTCTGAACCTTTTGAAAAAAAATAAATGCATTTTTTTTTTTAGGAGACTGAAAAAATGTTTTGAGGAAAAGGGATTGAATGAGGTAATTCCAGCTGAGAAGAAATAACAGTCAATTCAGCCTGAGGGGGAAAAAAAAGTCATGAAGAAATATGTGGGTTTTTTTAAATAAAAATGAATGCTACACACATAGATTTAGTCCCTAACTTCAAGCCCTTCCTGCATTTATGTGTCTTAATGTGAGTTTTGTTTTTCATGATTGCTTTGCTCTTTCTGCAGTTTTTTTTGTTTGTTTACTGCATGAATTTAACTTGTCTTTAACCTCTCTAATCTTCCTGCCTGAAAGATCTCAGCTTTCTAGCTGTTAGAAGGCAACAGTTTTAACTGACTTGACCAATTGATCAGGATTTTGCTATCTTAGATTAAATAAGTCAGTGAGAAATTTAACAGACTGGACAAAAGCTTAATGTCTGACCAAGCTGGTCCAAATCCAGTCACCCAAACCATTAACACAGAAGAAGAGGAGATGAAAACCAGCTTGCGTTCCCTCACAGAGTCTTCTGGGACCAAGAGGCTGAGCTTCTCTGAGGTGACAGTAGAGAGGAGAGGCAGGCGGAGCGTCAGATCAGTTAGAAGTGGAATACCTGCTGCTGGCCCTGGACTTTGGGGAAATCATCTTTCTGTTTGCGGGATTTTGGTCTCTCCAGGCTTCCCTGTTGAAGGTGTTTGAGTCGAGCCGCAACAGTTGGACCCTTTGTCGGTCCCGGTGAGTTACTGCTGTTCTGTGGAAGAAAAGCATCTTGTTTTTGTGAGCTGATTTTAACTAAGTCACCCAAGGTACAACCACCTGTGATCGTTTGAACCACCTGATGAAATAACGCTGGAATTATGTAAATATAAACCATAATGACTCAGGGGCAATGCTGCAAAAATGTATGACATTTATAAACTAAGTTGTTTTAAGAATGGAAAAAGGCTATACATATTTTTCATTCAAAAATTTTTAAATTTCAAAACCTCTGTAAATTTCCAGACCTGTGTAAAAACTGTGTGGAACTCAATTCTCCCCAACCTGTGACTTCCAAAGTTGGGGTTGGAGCCCAATTGTGCTCCTGGATCAACATGTACAGTGAGGAAAGTAGGTATTTGATCATGCTGCTATTTTGCAAGTACTTGGAAATTATGGAGGGCTCTTAAACTCTCATCGTGGGTGCATGTCTACTGTGAGAGACATGATCTAAATAAAACAAAAACAAAAATCTCAATATATGATTTTTAACTATTCATTTTAATGATGCAAATAATTATTTCCAAAAACTGTCAATCAACTAGAATTCTGACCCTTAAAGACCTGTTAGTCTCCCTTCAAAATGTCCACATCCTCCCAATTTATTATCCTAAAGTAGATTAACCTGTTTAAGGTCTTTAGCTGCATAAAGACACCTGTCCACCCCATACAATCAGTAAAACTTCTACTACTAACATGGCCAAGACAAAAGAGATATCCAAAGAAACTAGAGACTAAATTTTACACCTCCACAAGGCTGGAAAGGGTGTGTATCACTTTAGTCAAAGCTTGGTGAAAAAAAGTCCACTGTTGGAACAATCATTAGAAAATGGATGAAGCTAAACTGGACTGTCAATCTCCCTCAGACTGGGAGTCCATGCAAGATCTCACCTCTTGGGGTCTCAGTGATCCTAAGAAATGTGAGAAATCAGCCCAGAACTACACAGGAGCTGGACAATGACCTGAAAAGGGCTGGGGACACCGTTTCTAAGGTTACTGTAAGACATCATGGTTTAAAATCATGCATAGCAAGGAAGGTTCCCCTGCTTAAACCAGCACATGTCAAGGCCTGTCTTAAATTGGCCAATGACCATTTGGATAATCCAGAGGAATCATGGGAGAAAGTCATGTGGTCAGATGAGACCAAAATAAAACCTTTTGGTCATACTTCCACTAACTGTGTTTGGAGGAAGAAGAATGATGAGAACCATCCCAAGAACACAATTCCTACTGTGAAGCATGGGGGTGGTAGCATCATGCTTTGGGGGTGTTTTTCTGCACATGGGACAGGGTGACTGCACTGCATTAAGGAGAGGATGCCCGGGGCCATGTATTGCAAGATTTTGGGGAACAACCTCCTTCCCTCAGTTAGAGCTTTGAAGATGGGTCGAGGCTGAGTCTTCCAGCATGACAATGACCCAAAGCACACAGCCAGAATAACCAAGGAAGAAGCATATCAAGGTTCCGGCGTGGCCTAGCCAGTCTTCAGACCTAAACCCAATAGACAATCTTTGGAGTGAGCTCAAACTCAGCGACAGCCGAGGAACATGACTGAGCTAGAAAAGATCTGTATGGAGGAGTGGGCCAATATCCCTCATGCAGTGTGCAAACCAGGTGAAAAACCACAGGAAACATTTGACATCTGGAATTTCAAACAAAGGCTACTGTACCAAATATTATCATTCATTTTCTCAGGTGTTCAAATACTTATTTGTAGCTTTATCATACAAATGAATAGCTAAAAAAAAACATACATTGTGATATCTGGATTTCTTTTTTTTTTTTTTAGATTATGTCTCTCATAGTGGACATTAACCTACAATAAGAATTTTTACCCCTTCATGATTTCTAAGTGGGAGAAGTTGCATAATATCAGGGTTTACAAATACTTATTTTCACTGTATACTGTCTTAGGATGCACTACTGAAATTAAAACCAACAATAAATAATAAAGGTAAATCACATTTATGTTAAAATCTTTATAGATATGAAAAAAATTACTTAGAAATAAACAAAAAACAAATCTTTTGGTTGTTGATTTGGGATATTATTGCATCCAAGGTTAATTGATTTTGCAGAAAACTTTGAAGCATTTAGGTTGGTTAATTCATCGACAATGAAAACATTGTATTAAACAGAAGCTGAATGGAAACCTTTGGCCCTTACGACTCTTCCCTTGCATTAAATGTGTGTTTTCCTTCACATTTTATTAACTGAAGCAAAGAAATCAAAGAGTTCTACCCACTCCTGCTCTGCAAATAAAATCCCTTTAAGATAATTTTAGTGACTGCTGTTTAACTTGACTGATGAATTTTAGAGTACAGTGTATGTGGAACATCAGTAATCCAATATTCCTAATGCTCCATAGGCCCTGTTGACCCTTTTTTTTAACATCTTTAGCATATTTGCCGGCACAGACTGGGTGTTCTTTGAAGAGATGTAGCCATAAAACATGATATTGTCAGTAATCGTATTAGATGCCTTTTTTGATGTATCAACCACATGGAAACCTTTATTGGTGAGTTTTAAAAGCCAAGTTTTTCTTCATCATTTCTGTTTTCCGTATTTATCCTTTTTCCAAACATTAGTAACGTTTAAAGTAACTGAAATCTATTTCCTGCACTTTTAAGCTTTAAGATCACCATTTATTTCTGTTTTCGTTCTGTAGAAGTTACCCATAGTTCCCCTAAGTTGGTATCATGTTTTCTGTTTCTGTACAATTGCTACTGCATCTCACAGCTGAAATCATTCACTTGTTAAATTCTGATGAGATGGAGCAGGGCACATGTATAATAATACATTTACCTGATATTAGTTTAAAATCAGACTAATAACAAATATCCCCCCTAGTATTTCTCAGCTTTACAGTTTGATGTGTAAAAATATGGAAATCTCAATGAAAAGAGTAGAAACATTTCAGAGATCTCAAGGGGAAGTAAAACAATAAGCCAATTCCTAATCATGCACAAGTTGATTTATTTTCCCTTTTTTCCCTTGTATGGCTTGTTGTTAATCTGCATGGAAGATCAAGCAAAGTAGGAAATAAATAGGAGTTAATACAAAGGATTAAGTCAGCAGAAAGAGGCCTGGGAGTGAGGCAGCAGGAGGCAAAAGCTTGAGGTTTTACATTTACCTTTCTGCCCAGTGACTCAATGACGTAGGGGGAGGGGGCCTTTGGTCGGCCGATGTTCTGTTTACTACAGGGGGAATCTTTTACAGGTGTTCTCTGAAATATCTTTTTATTTATGAAATAATGCAGTGAGAACAAATCAGAACTTAATGTCACAATGGAACAGAAAATAGCCTATGAACTGTTCTACCTCCAGCTCAGCGAGGATCTTCTCCTCATCATCCTCGTCCTGAATGGCTGAGGCAGCGATCACAGGTGGGGTGGAGGCTGGTCGGGGGGTGTCTGAGGGGGTCCGTCTCAACTTCACCAGAGTTTTTGGCATTTCACCATCTTCCTCCACCTACACAGACAAAGGGAGACAGCTGAAACTCAGAGAAGTGTAACTATAGTCCTGAAGGATTGCAGTCTTGTAAGCTCTAGATGTGTCCTTGTGACCTCTTATGAGGTCATTTTACTGCAAGGTTCAATAATCAATATCTAAATATGGAGGGCAGAAGAGCCCCCTGAAACCTGAAAAAAAGTTAGACAAACTGCTTTTTTACTTTCAAATGCTGATCCTGGCTCTCGGTTTGGCATAACTTAATAACCACTCACATTTCAACATGACACTAGTTAATTGGTAATGCTATTCTTAAACACCTTCATTCTTACATTTTGTGTTTTAGATATCAGGAAAATGGTCACGCCTGAATCGGAAGTTTGACAACAACAGTGAAACGGTAATGGCTACAAAATAAAGAATAGCTTGGTGGTGAAAATAAACCAGAAGAGACCAGGACACTATACTATAGTCCAGGTGAATTTTGATACACTCTATAGGGACCAGCGATACCCTTTAATGGCATCTTCTCTACCTGATAGACCTGATTCAATCTGCTGGGTTCCCTTAGATAGAAACAATATTGATGACATGTAATGGTAAACTGAACTCAACTGCAATGTTTAATAACTGAGATCAGTTGGAGTATGAATCTCTCCATATAACTGGATAATTTTTATTTTTTTTGTGAACCTGAGTTTAGATACATTAAATTAAATGGAATTTTTGCTTTATAAACTGTTTTCCCAGCTGATAACCTTGTTTAATTACAGAACGAGTGACAGCTGGAACCTCTGAGCCTCACCTTCTGGTTCTTGTTGGTGACGATCACCTCTCCAGTGCGGTTTGTGGTGAGGCCGTGAACCGATGGGAAGCTTCGGCGAGGGGGAGGTGGGGGAGGAGACTTAGATGGTTTTTCTGTTTTGTATCTTGCTACATTGAGGTCCACTGCCCAATCAGAAAAATATCATTTAAAATATATTTATTTTTATCAAATGAATCATCCTTTGTATGCAAAAATGATACTGATATCTGGACAACTCACCGGACCCTCGATGTGAACCGCTGCCTTCCATGCTGTTGAGCTTCTGAGCAGCCAACTGCACCTTGCCAGGCTGCTGGTCCCCACTAGACGTGGTGGTGGTGGCTGTTGTCCCAGTGCTCCCTGCAGCTGAAGAAGTAGCTGTGGTGGAGGATATTGGGAGGGTAATCTGGGGTTTGGGAGGGACTGCCGGTTTATTTATGTGCTTGGCAGCAAAGTCCAGATCTGGAATGGCCTTCATCAGTTCAGCCTGGGTTTCCTCCAGCAGGCGATTGATATCCTGGGCGCTAAACTGGGTCAGACTGGCACGTTTCTCCTCCCAGTCACGCTCAGCTGCCTAAAAGATATACAGAAGCAGATAAATAAAAAACAGCATGAGACTACTGGCAAGATATATGGAGAGTGTTTTCCAATGCTGCCCCAACAAATGGAATAATAAACCATCTGCTTGTGTGATGAGGGTCTGAGTAACAGATTTAAGAGCTTTCAGATATAATGTTCTGTGTAAATGAATATCTACCATCTGGCATAAGAATAAGATGTAAATATCTTTCTGTTTACAGCAGACTGGTAAATGAATATGTCCACAATTATGTTTACCAGTCTGACTTCAGCAGAGACTGCTTTGTCTCCAGGTCTTCGACTTGGCAGCTCATCCAGGACTCGGGTTCTGAAGGCCATGGAAGACTGGATGTCCTGCTCAGGACCAGATGTGTCAGTTTCGCTAGCAGAGGAGGACAGGGGCATCCAGTTGGCCAGACCGGAGCTGGTGCTCAGGTCACTGAGGCTGAGAGGAGGACTGTTCAGGATGTCCAGATCAGAGCCTTGACTCATATCATCCAGTCTTTTCTGGGACTGACAGGAGAGGTCTTCAGGGGTCTTCCAAATGCCTTCAGAGACCTGTCTGCACAGACAGAAAGGACACAAAGAAGAAAAATAACAGAGATAAAAATCATACATAAGTTACTATTATACATATATGGTTGGGTTAAGCAGCATGAAATAGCACCTAAAAGTAGTAGGATTTTGTGTTCCTATTTAAAACCTTTTCTTATGTACAAAAAAGCAAGCAGTTTTAAGCTAAATTTAAATAATAAATTCAGATGTTGTCTCTTTGCATAGCATGATTGTGAAGTAAAAGCCAATTCATATTTAGTTTTAGCATCTTGAAAACAAACAAAAAAAGATTAAATTCTCTTCAACCTCCATTAGACAATATTTGTCGAAAACCTTGTTTAATGGAGTTTAAGCTGAAAGTTTTCTGACTCACGTTCACCATCTTTCATCCAGGAAGCCAAACTATGTATTTATACTAGGAGAGCAGCCATCCAGACACAGACATTTTTCTAAGCAAATATATTTCTAGAGGGGCTATTGACATTTTCACCAGATGTCGGTAACAATCCAGGCAATCCACACATACAAAGAAATCAAACCATAGATGTTCAGAAATTAATTTTGTTTAAAAAAACATTTTTCTCACTAAATAATAATATTTAGTGAGAAAAATGGAGGTTTGTTCAATACTTATATCACCTGCTGTGTGAATCTGCATTGATCTAAACCGTTTTGGAGGGCGACAGTGGCGTTGGATGTAGGAGTTTGCCCTGAAATTAAAGGATTGACGGTTCAAACCCCAGCTCTGACTTTCAGTGTTCTTGTGTCCTTGGGCAAGACACTTCACCTGCATTGTCTACTGATGCTGGTCAGGTCTTCTGTCAGTGAGCCCCAGGGCAGCTGTGGCTACAATGTAGCTTGCCACCTTGACTGAATGGGTGAATGAATGTAGTGTAAAGTGCTTTGGTCAAGTCTCCTGACTTGAATAAAGGCGCTATATAAGTACATGTCATTTACCATTTTACTGTAACTTTGGCTGTATGTTTAGGGTCAGTGTCCTGCTGTAATATCAACAGCCCAGCCTTTCTTTTTTTTATTTAGCACCATCCATTCTCCCATCAATTCCAAGCAGTTTCCTGTTCCTTCTGCAGAACAACTCTTGGATCAAGCATTTCTAATGAGGTCATTAAATTTATATTCTTTGTTGCGCAATTTAAATTTGCTAATACATGAGTTTTTCAAAATGTTAATATATATAGTTAAAAGCTTGCTTTTAATTTTGTTTCATCTGCTGAATAAAAACCCTTTAACCCACAAATATGCTGATGAGGGGGTTGATCTGCAGAGCCTTAATAGCATGCTCTGATGAAATAATTGTCTGGTGTAAATTGCGGCTAGATATTGGTTAAAATCTCGACATTCGTTTTATTAGTGGTACCGATGCAGAGAAGGAGAGAGTGCGGCTTCATCCTGTTATCAAATCGACTCATATGATCTAACTTACAACATTCAGACATTATGGTGTTGCTGCCACATGCAGAGGGGAGTTACAGTGTAAAATTTTCAGAAATTAAATTTGATGTTGCCAAAAATGTTATACTTGTTGATCTTCAGCTTTATATTTCTTCTAAATTATTGCTTAATGATATTAACTCTCCATAAAATTATGTCATTTATATTATTGCATCCTGATGTAATTTCAATGTTGTTTAATATTTTATCTAATATTACTTTGGTACATAAAGGTATTCATGGTTGACTTTGTGACAGAAACCAGCCAGGATTTTATGGCAGCACAACAAGCCTACGTTACCATCCCTCCTTCATAATACTAAACAGCTGGAATGTTTAGAATTGGTTCAGGAGCCCTAAGAAGTAAGAGCAACAAAATACTTAAGCATATGAGGTACATTTTTACTATGGTTTCACATTTTACATCAAATCAGATTTATAATCATGGCTACAAAAAAAAATCTAACATTCAGATATGTGTCATGAGAGTCAAACTGGTTGATCTTTAGATACACTTAAGGGGCTTTGTTTGATACCTGCATACCTGCGAAGGTTGCTGAGAGCATCAGTCATGGTGTTGCAACGTTTCAGTAGAGCTTCCAGACGTTGAGGCTCCTCTTTTAGGAACTTAACCGCTTCCACCTCCACCCTCAGCACCACGCGCATCTTACTCTGTAAGCTCGGGAACTGGTCTGTAGGAGAGCGAGAAGAAGCGATAACTGAGGAGAGAAGATTCGGTATAAAAGCATGAATACAGAGAATGGTTTGAACAAAATATGTTATCATTATTCAATACTTTAAATTACTGGGTCTCAGCAAAACAAAGAGCCTGCTAGATGCGGCGTAACTGAGTAATATAAAACAGTCTGCTCTTAGTCACATTCAAATGATCAGAGATGGAGAACCAGAGGGTTTTATGCTTGGACCACTTTTTAAACTTTTTTTTTAAAAAGCCCCCTAAAAAGACTGAGTGCTCAATTATGGCTTTTTTTTTTCTGTAATGGGATTGAACAGGTCGGTTTAAGCTGTGAAGAATAAATTGGAATAATAATAAAAAAGTTAAAATTTTCATGATCTTGACCTTAGTGGACTTTTTGAGTTTTCATTTACATTTTTATGTCATTCTGTTTTCTTGGTAATTGTTTCTTTTCCAATTATGTCTCATAGTAGTTGTTTTCTAGTTTTATTTAAGCAGTGTTGTGTTTTTTGAGTTACTCTCTGTTGTCCCCTTGTGCCTGTCTCCTTTCCCCAAGCTCCTATCCACACCTGCACCATATCAGCTGATTACCCTAGAGTTGTTCTGTCTCCCATATATACTCTCCCTGTGTTTATTCAGTGCTGGTTTCTTGATGTTACTTGGCTTCTCTTGTGTGTTTTCCTCTTGGCATCCCGTTTTTTTTGGTTTTTTATTTTATTTTATTTTTTTTATTTTTTTTTATATTTAGTTCCTGGATTTTGCCTCTGTAGCCTTTGGAACTGTTATTAAATCAGCAAAGCTCATCCCTGCTGCCTCTTCTCTGCATTTGGGTCCTTACTAACTTCCACTAAATCTGACAAAAATTCATTGTTTTTATAGGTATTTACTAAATTTTGTTGGTACAACCGGGAAACTATTCAGATTAAATCAAATTCCTTACCTAAGTATATTATGATGAACAGAGTGAAAGAGTGAGCAGATGGTACAGTAAACAAAGAAAGCCTTGCTTACAGAAATAGCTCAAAGTATGGTTCTACTTTACAAATGTGAAGCAGTATTTGCGCTGCAAATTGCAAGGATAATGCTAGGAAACTGGAGAGAATAGTATTCTCTGCCATCAACAGCTTATATTATAGATGGAATTGATGGAATTAAGCTTGTTTTTAGTGCTTGATCATGTTTCTCTCCCTGACACAGCTTTTACTCTGATTTCCTGTATGTGCTCTCGAGCTGGTTTACAGTTACTTATTTTAACATGGAACGTTATTTATGGATCAGTTATTCTATGTTCCTTTTATATGTCTGATTCTGGCTCAAGGATGCTCCAACTGAGCCTGGTTCTGCTGGAGGTTTCCTCCTGTTAAACGGGATTTTTTTTCCCTCTCCACTAACACTGCATGCATGCTTAGTATGCGAGATTGTCCCCAAATGAATGACATAATGCAAACAGACCTACTGTTGGCATTTGCTCTTTCAGAAGGAGAAAATACTGCAAAGTCAATTAGTTGATTCAATAATCTGGGTTTTCTTTAGGGAAAATAAATATGAATCAATTTTTGTGTGTAATTCGACTGAAATGTATATACACTGCATGAGATGACATGTGTTGTGAATTGGCACAATATAAATCAACTGAAATTAATTAAATAGACCAGGTGTACATTGTTGCTGTTTAAAACAATATGGTACCATGTACATATTTACATTCATGAGAAACAAAAGAAGAGACAAAGATGGTTGAAGCATAATAAAGACTATGTTCAATGCTAAACAAAACTTAAACTTGAGCGCAGTTGGGATGACAGAGGACCCATCAGTAAAGTGAAAGAACCCTAGAGTATTTTTTTCTAACAAGATACTGCACTGGTGAGAATGAACAGATTAACAGCTGTGGACGAACTTCAGAATACCTCATTAATACTCAGAGTCAAACACAGGTCAAGGCAGCAGGAGGAGAGGCCAAAATGGAAATTATATGAACAGCAATTAAAGGGTAAGTAGACTCATGAATATGAATGATTCTTACTTTGCATAACGGTTTTTAATGGACAGCCCTGACCACATCTGAACTATAACCTTCAACTAAAAGTCACATATGTTAACATTTCTATTAATTAGATTTTTAATACTCATTTATTAAAATCATATGATTTTTTTGTTTTATAAGCAAATAAGAAGAATTAGTTTCCCTTGCTAAGGTATAAACACGCCTATAACTTTTTCAGACTTTGTCATGTTTTGACTGCAAACTTTAATCAGTTTGTTATGCTATAAGAAAGACCACTGTGTTACTATCAGGTTAAAAGAAAAAAAAAAAAGTATGATTTTAAAGTCTTCTACAAATAAAATGCTAGAGAGTGAATCTCAGTTTAATTGATGAAACCATGTCTAACCTTCCACTTTCAGAAGCCGCCTAATTAGTAAGCCAAGTCCACCTGGGTGAAAATTAATCTCCAGATAAATCAAAAAGGTGAGAAGAAAATAGAAAAAAAAAACATGCCAAAAAAGCCAAAGTCCAATTTGGAACATTTTGCAAATGTTGGAAACATGGTGTGATATCACTCTAACACGGCACATCAACCTAAACACAACATCCACACCATGAAACACGCACGATAAATAGATGTTATCTTCAGCAAACCCAGAAAATCCTTGTTAAAAGCTGTAAAACACTTTTGATGTGTTGGGAAATTCAAATCAGGATACCAACCCTAAACATAGAAAAAGATATGATTTTATTCCCAAGCACATTCATTAATCAAATAGTCCCATTAATAACCAGACCTAAAATCCTTTATATAGCTGGGGCAAAAGGTAAAAGTTTAACTTCATACATGCTCTCCACCTAATCTAGTTGAATCTAATCTGACTAGGCTTGAGATATTTCCACTGTAAAATATCATTTTCTAGATATGCAAAGCTGGTAGAGACACAACCTAAGACCACTGACTATTAGTATTTTCCTGTATGTCAGTTTGGCAGATATGAAGGATTGCTTCAATACACCAATATGATATATTTTTCTCTGCACCACTCCTGAGGCCAAACACCCCAATAGCATGAAGCTACCACCCCATATTTCAAAGCCAGGATTGTTCTTTTTTCTCAGGCTTCTATTCCTAACAATGCAGTAATGACCACTATGCATGTGCAAACTCTGGCTTTTCATATTGCTATTAGAGTCATTGCTCATTTCTTTTGCACTTCTTTCTCACTTGCATGCCTGTGAGCGTACAGCACATGTTTCACTGTAGAAAACAACACACTCATACTTCCTTCAGATAGCATATTCACTAAGCAGCTCTGTGTTAATATTAACATTCACAATAAATATAATATAATGGATGGCCATTTGTGCATCTTCTAGGTTTGGTAATAAATGTTTAATCAGATGAATGAGGCACCTATAGGCATCTGGGAATTGCACAAAAGTGTAAACCGACTTTTAGAGAAGCAGTTCTCCAATATCCTGTCTGATTTTTCAAACAAGAAAATGAATGGAAGGTGGACAAGTCCTTACATAATCATGTGTGCTTTCTAAAACCAGTTAACTGCAGTCATCTTGTTGTATTTTTTTGTTTCTATTGAATGAAAATCCATTTTAAAACAGGTTTTAATCAGATACGACACTTAGTAAGAAAGAGGGATACTTGTCCACTGTGCAGCGAATCTGAACTTCAGGCTGTAGTGTGATCTACTAATGATTTACCATGCTGTATGATAAAAAACAAAAACCTAGCACCTACTTTTGAGGTCAGTAAGAGTCTCTCCCAACATCCTCAGCTCTTTGCTCTTCTGCTCCACATCCTGCTCTGTCACCAGGCCGTGGTTAACGGATGAGTTCCTCTGCAGCTCCTCCACTGATTTCTCCAGGTCGCTGTTTAAAAACAAACCCAACACCCTCAGGGAAAAAATGTGATTCAGTGTTTGAGATGACACCTCGACAGCATACAACTTTCTAGCATGAATTTCTAATCACACCGCTATAAAGTTATTTTGCAGTTGAGTTGCTACATGTTCAACCATGACTACAGACAACTGGATTAACAGAGAAAAGAAGCTAATTAGAAGGCACCATACTCTCCAGAGTCTACATGATCATTGAGACGTACAAGGCAAAGAAAACAAACACACCTTCAAAAAAAATAAAGTAAACTCTGTACACCACATGACAAAAAAAGGCCATAAATGGCCGGATCTGCATTCCTACAGCACAGATAATCTTTGTCATCTTAAAAAAGAAACTTTCCTACTTCAAATTTCAATTTAGAAGTTCTGGCACGCTGAAACATGTTTCTCCACTTCTTCCTTCCATCAAATTTTCACCACTTAAAAAAACCTTAAGAGTAGTGGTTGGAATAATTCAAATGATGAAATCTTAAGTGGTGTGAATACTGTTGCAAAAAGTATAAAAAATAGATTGAACACTGGCTAATTAAATATACAACATAAATATTATGAAAAGATCATTTTAAATAAGACATTAAAAAAGTCTTTCTGGATTAACTATTCTCTACAAACTGGTGTCCATTGATCGGGCTCTGAACTCACTGCAGTTGCTGGATGAGGAGTTCTTCCTGGTTTAGGTACTTCAGCCTCTCCTCCTCCACTAAGAGGCGCTGTCTCTGCAGTGGGTCCTCTTGGGGCCGCATGGCGTCCAGCATCATCAGGCTCAGTTCAGACTCCGTTTGACGCAGTAGAGACAGAACTGAGTCCTGGTTCTCCAGCTGACAAACCAATGTTTTGTTATTTGTAAGTAAAACACACTTAAAGAAAAGAAATTAAAAAGTGGATTATACATATTTCTAGTTTATGTAAAAAAAATCATTAGGTTTGAAATATTAAGAGCATTTGGCTAAGAAGTTTCCCTTATGTTGCACCATGGGCCTGATCGTCAAAGATTCAGAAAAAAGAGTAGCTAAATTTTTTTTTTTTTACAAACTAAATGATTTTATTCCTAAAGTTTTGCAGCTTTGACATACTCTCAAGAAGTTGCAACAAAAAAGCATTCCCAATATGCAGGAGCTACTTTCTGTCCACATTTACCTGCATGTTGCGTAGCTGCGACAGCTGCTTGCGCAGGGCGTTGGTGTTCTGCTGCAGTCCTTGAAGGTGTTGCTGCATCTGCATACGGGACACGGCCACCGGCTGGTTGGCTCCTGAACACGGAGGTGGCATCAGGGCCAGAGGAGCAGATGGAGTAAGAGCTGCCCCAGGTAAATAAAAATTTAGGATAGTCAGCACTCCATCAACTTTTAGTCTTTGGTTCTTTCTGAGGAAAATTTCAGAGCTCATAGAAATGGTCCCTCAGTATAGGTTTGGGCAAAAAAAAAAACGACCTCTGATTCGTTCGATTGTTAAAAATGGGTATTTAATTTACTGAAAGCAGAATTTAGTGGTTTAAGTATTTAAAAGGGACAACATCTATCAGCTCTGAAGAACAGGAGGGGACCCTACTGTAGACTGAACAATAAACAAGATGGGAAGGCTTCAGGGACAAATATGTCAATAATGAAAAACATTTTTCAAGTGTCTCATTATAAATCATCCCAAAGACAAGCAAAATACAAAAGACTTTTCCAATAGGAAAATCCTCTGAAATGACAATGACAGCAGAGCTCCCACAGTAATTACTGTGCCGGGTTACATAAATCATGCAAAAGAGGAACATGGAAAGGAACTTGAGTTGCATTTAATCTGAACATATAAAACAAAGAAAAGCTTTAAATCAAGGTAGGATGACATTCTCTAACTGACCAAAGAATGTATGATAAAAGCTTTAACAAGGAAGGAAGGAAGGAAGGAAGGAAGGAAGGAACCTGTTGAATTACATTTCTGAAAGCGTATAGAACTGTTGATTAAATATTCATTATGCACAGCAAATTTTCTATTTTTACTAGTTTAGTATCAGCTTAAACCAAAACAATTACAGTCATACAAAAAAAAGTTTGGGCACCCCTATTTATCTTAATTATTTTTATTTCTAAATATTTGAGTGTTTGCAACAGCTTTCAGTTTGATATATCTAAGAACTAATGGACACAGTAAAATTTCAGTATTAAATTGAGGTTTGCTGGACTAACAGAAAATGTGCATTAAAACAAATACTTTTTATTGATTTGAATACCCCTAATTACTTTTCACTGACTTACTGAAACACAAAATTGGTTTGGTAACTGCATTAATATTTGAACTTCATAGCCAGGTGAATCCAATCATGAGAAAATGTATTTAAGGTGTCCAGTTGCAAGTTGATTTGTTTGAATCTCCTCTGAAGATTCATCATGGGCACATTGAAAAACCTCCATTAAAATGCTTGGACACAGCTTTCCGAACAGCCAGCTTTTTTATCAGCGACCTCTTATGGTTCACCCTACTTTTAGAAAGTATCACTGACTGTTTGGACAACTGTCAAGTCTGCTGTGTTCCCTTTTTTGGTGTAAGCCATAGCAATTTTGGGTAAAATTTTTCTTACATTCAATTTTATGTCTGAGAAAACTCCAAGGCACTTATCCCTGGGGAAGGATTGTGAGTTTTAATTATTAAGTTGATAAATGATGTACTACTTTACAGAGATCCACCTTCAATTGCAATGTAACAAGCTAACTATTTATGTTATGTTTCTCTAACTGTGACTGTCTGGATGTGCTCTCTTCATCCTCTGACATGGGAGTTGGCTCAGAGCGGGGCAGCCTTTTACAGCTGCTTTTTGTATCTCTGTTTCTCTCTCCTTGAACTCCAGTCAGCCTCGGAAGATGACCGCTCACACTCAGCCTGGTTCTGCTGGAGGTTTCTTCCTGTTAAAAGGGAGTTTTTTCTCTCCACTATCGCTACAAGCATGCTTACTGTGAGGGATTGCATTCAATGCAATCAACTGGTTTTCCTTAGATAGAAAACTTTGAATCAATTTGACTGTATGATCTGGTGAACTATAAAATGCCTTGAGATGACGTGTTGTGAATTGGTGCAATAGAAATAAACTGAATTCAATTGAATTGAATTAACAATGAAATCTATAGATAGTCATATCTACCAATGTACGAAACTCAACACAAAAATTGCACACACAAAAAAATCACAAAAAAGCTAAGTTAATGCAACTCAATGAAATCTACTATTAACACACAAAAACAACAGAGAACTGAAGGAGAACAATTGTCAGAGAGGCAGGTTATTCAAGACAACACAGGGAACATATGTAGACCATTTAAATGGAACTCCAGGAAGAGAATAATGATATGGGATTTAGGTTGGGGCAGACAGGAGAACATTTTTTAGACACTCGAGGAAAACAAACTGTAGCTACCTTTCTTTTTTTTAGTTTGTCCAGCTAAAACAAAATGAGTAGCGGTTACAAAAAAACCCAGCAGTACAAAAAAAGCAACAAAAAAAACAAAACACAGCCATTAAAATCAATCACATATGAACTAAGTTTATAATAATGAAACAGCAGGTGGTATAAAAGGAAAAGAAAGCTCATTTGTGTGGCCAGCAGGAGGCAGCAGTGATGAGCAAGGAAAGTTTGATGAGGTGCAGCAGGGGTGAAAACTTACGGTCATTTCCTGAACAGTCACTGGCCGACTCAAGCTTCTCTCTGCAAGACAGAAAAGTATTTAACTTCACATTAGGACAATGGCCATTTCAAAGGTGTAATTTCTTTATTTTTTTCTGTTATTTGTTCTGCAATATATGGTTATAAAAAGTAAGCAAAAAGCAGAATATTTAACACCTTTATATTTTAACACCTAATGCCCCAATAGAAATATGTGGTTTATCTTGCCAAAAAAAAACCTGTATTTTTCCTCTGGCTTAATCCAAAGGAGAAACAAAAAAGCAACAACTTGATTGGGTAGGATCCCATTGTCCAAGGTATTTCAAGCTAAATATTAACCTTTCTACAATTTTAATTGCATTTTAGATTTAACCCCTCACCCCAAAGACATGCTGGATCAGTCACATGTGTATTGTACTATATGTTTGCAAAGGAAGCTGCTCTGGTCATTGTGGTAATTCACGCTGCCTCCAGGGCACTGCAGACATATAAAGTAGTTAGTGTGAACTATGGATGACACTGGCAAACAGGTTGAGTAATCTTTATGACCTCTAGTTGGCAAATTTCTAGCTTTATATTCAAGCAACTTCATTCTAGCGCTTCAATCTACCGAAACATTAAATAAAATTCCTCATCTTATGCTAACTTACATTTTGTGTTTTCTATTTATTTTAATTTAGGGCAATGTTTTACCCCTAAGTCAAGGAGAACAGTTGCCACAAAAATGAATTTCCAAAAGCTCATAAATGTGTAGTTACTCCTCTTCAGACAGCTTGTTATTTAAAAATAACAGTCTCTAAGTGCTTAAACCATCAAAAGGCAATTTAGTTTGATTGATCCGGGCTTGTTAAGAGGGAACAAGCCATTACTGTCCTCTTAATTTTTCTGTCAGCCAAACTGCAATCCGTTTGTTTCCTATTAGCCCATATGCGCTGGTTATTTGAAATAACATATGGTTACTAAACTTCTTGTTCCATTCATATGTCCCTGTATAATAAGCATAAATTCTTTGAGATAAATAAATATTCAAACACATCAAAACACAGAATGTTTCTTTTTTCTTTCATATTACCATCTTTGGTTTATTTTCTACAGTTACCTTTTGTATATTTGTCTCTTTCTGTATGTTTGCCTCTTTCTCCTTGAACCCCAGTCGGCCTTGGCAGATGGCCGCTCACACTGACGCTGGTTCTGCTGGAGGTTTCTTCCTGTTAAAAGTTTGTTTTTCCTCTCCACTGTTGTACATGCATGCTTTGTGTGAGGGATTGCTGGAGAGTCAATGAGTCGATTCAATCAGTTGGTTTTCCTTGAATGGTTTTAACCAATCTGACTGCATGATCTGGTTGAATTATCTCTGTAAAGTGCCTTGAGGTTACATATGTTGTGAATTTGTGATATATAAATCAACTGAACTCCATTAAGTTGAGATTAATTGAGTTAAATATTTCACACCCAACTATCTAGAAATTACCATTCAGTGTTAGTTAGTGTTCTGAAGTTGTCAGACAGTCGGGCAAATCAATCAGAAAATCATGTCATTAGGATCACTTTCCGTCTCAAGCATTCAAAATGCTGAAGAAAGTGAAACATTTGTATTGAGCAGCCTGATATTACATATGATGGATTGTAGTTACCAACCAAAGCTCTTCATTTATGACTGCATTACATGTATTAACTAAACAAATAAAAGCAGAAAAAAATTAATACATTGCCTGCATTACAATTACTATTTAGAATTTTTTAAGAAAATAGAAAGTGGATTAATGTATAATGCATTTATTGATAGTGTGGAGTAGGTCTACTTTGAGTGCAGTTCTCATGCGGATGGTGACTTTTGAACGTGTGCCACTGGTGTTTTTTAAAGTGTGGTTCAACTGTATAATCTAGTGGACTATTAAACATGATCTACATATGGTGGATATCAGTTAGGTTACAAAATAAGACTTACAATTTTACAAATCATAAATATCTGATTTATTAGGGATGGTTTTCTGATGAAAAAAGTCCATGAAAAGTGCATGAATCCATCAAAGCATAATTCGCAAGCTGCTTGAACAAAGCTTGTAAAGTTCAGTTTAGACAACTGGACGTCAAGTTTTCTAGTACTTCTTTCACTTCTTTCAACTGCCTGGAACACCCATTTAAACGTGGGAACGATCAGCTTTTAGGGGCAGTGGGAGCAGCTCCCTGACGCATGTCTACCCAGGTTAAACGACTCGGCAAGTCACCGGTGTTAAAATCACCTCGGCTTTGATCTGCATGCTGCGAGAACACCAGACCCAGGTTGACCCGCTAAATTACGTGACACCATTAATTCCAACATAAGGACGTCACACAGCGAGCCAGCTGCTTCTGATCTAACAAGCAGAAACAATTCTGTTAACATTCGATAAACATGACTCAGCACTGGAAAGAGGGATTCGGATAGATAAAAGAGCAAAACAATAAATAACACTAGCTACGCTCTGGCGTCCTTACTTGTTGCGCTCCATCATTTACTTCCCTGATTTCCGTCGCACTGTCAACATCATCAATGCCCACCTTTTGTTCCCCCTAATTGTTACACCTACAGTATATTAATCTCAGTGCTCCCCACCAATTGTTAGAAATGAAGAAGCCTCTAGAATGAGAGGCAAACTTCTTCTGGAGAACTTCACATCCAGTTGCCTAAACTGAACTTTTCAAGCTTGACAATGACCTGGATGACTATCATACAAGGTTTATGTAAACACACAAGCTTACTCTTTTGCTTATCTGTGTTTAACTTACGGACTTTCTGCTTCTGGCGCTCTGGTTAGAACTCTCTGCAGCAGCCCCGTCAGACTTGCAATCTGCTTTTCCATCGCCTCCATTCGCTCCCTGGACAAAAACCAAAAATACCAAGATACTGTGATTAA